CATTGTACGTGTTTAGTCAGAGTTTTAGTCTCCTTGCTGCAATGCATGCTCTTCCTATCCTCTTACTCAATTCCTCTCTGCAGTGTAGTGTGAAACACTGGACTGTGGAAGTTCTTTAGGACAAGAACCATGCCCTCCTGTTTAAACTGTGAGGCATCTGACAACTGATTCGGGTGGTCTTATATTTGTCTCCCTTAAATAATTACTAATATAGTAATTAGAATTAATATTAGTGAGCAGTACATTGGGGACACACACATGACACCAAAGGTACTTTTTTGATATCCTAAGGAGTATCTCTAAATTCAGTTCTTCTGTCTTTTGTTATGGATCCTCATTATTATTTGCCCCAATTGACTGTGTGTAGTACATTTGCAGTACACCTTGATATTGGTGTTTTTTGCAGAAAAATTAAGGGGGGCATCAATTTGGTAAGTTTGTACATAAAAGCAACGTTTGTCATAATTTTTGAGCCTTATAAGAGAGAACCACACTCTTTTTATAACCTGTGGAACTCTTCATATTCTCTTTTTGAACCTGTTCATAGTGTATTATGAAAAAATATTCTTTATTTTCAGCATAAGGGTTTTTTAAAATAGTCTGAATTACTTTGAAATATATTGCTTTTATACCCTTCTCTTTCGTTCTATATTGTAAGAATGAATAGGTGACCAAATGTTCGTGTACCACGCAGTGTTTTCTAGAGTGATATCGTTGGCACTGGTTAAGTTAACTTGTATTTTAAGCTACTGTACACACTGAAGCCTCACTGATAATTTGTGTTGCACTACCTTCAACTTTTCTTCATGTTTGTACCTCGAAGTGTGATGGAGGTCCCAGGGGGCAATCGATTCTGCTGGGCTGCCTTCCTGCCCAGGCTGCCTGCTGTAAGCTATGGATCAGTTTGTAAAAGTGGGTCCTCTCACCCAGAGAAAGCAGTGTGATGACTGTTGTGAGCAGAGTGCTTGTATACCATGTGGTACTGCTGTGTAACTTCAAGTGTCTGATCAGCTGGGAAAGAAACATTATCATCTCATGGTTTTGTTTCTTCAGAGAATGTGAGATCTGAGAATGGTGGAGAGCTCCCTTTTGCAGCACTGGCAGCCCAGGTTTTTGCTCACTCCACACATCAGTAGAAACCTCTCAGTTCCCTTTATGCAGAACTGTTGTCTATGTAAAGACTCACAAGCATGGGAGAAATCCCTTCAGTCTTGATTCAGCCAATACAGAGGAAATAATAACATTTTCAGACTTTCATACTATCAAGTAGCAGTAAGAAAAGCTTTATACTGCAGGAGTATCTGTTAAGTTCTCCCTCCAGCTCTGAGTACTGTCAGGAAAGGAATGAAAATAAATGTATTCTAATTTAATTATGGGGTTAACGATCTGTTCCTATCATTCTTCTTGGGTTTCTTCTCTCAAGGAAGAGTAGAATCCTGAGGTCAGAGCTCCTATCCCCACAGGTCTTTCAATTTTGAATCACCCTAGCTATGGTTTCTGTCTAAGTCTGATAAAGTCTGCTAGAACATAGAATCTGTATAGTTATTGTAAATATTTCCCTGGTATAACCACTTGGTCTAAAATGGGTAATACATTCTAGACAATTGCTTCTTTTTTACAATTTTACCTGCAGCAGAATACAGAAGTTGGAATAACCCTAAGACAGTAATTATTAGCACTTACAGATAACTTCAATCTACAGCTTTTATACTATTCTGTGAGTGTTACTAAACCTCGGTGTACTTCAGTGTGGGCATCTGGGCATTATAGGTGGGCAAACAGAGGAGCAGAGTGATTGCAATAACATGGTAGAACATACAAAGTCAGCAGAAGGGCTGAAATAAAGCTCACTAAGTCTGACTTGCAGTTTTCTGCACAGTCTGTGAAACTAAAACACATTCTGGTTTTAGTATTTGCTCTTTACAGTGATTATTTCACATTTTTTTCCAGTCACTAGTCAGGAGGAGCTCAGAGGTATTTACACTGAACCTCTAGTAGGTCAAGGAAAAAAAGATTATTATTATCCTTCCAGCTCTAATGGCAGATGTTTAGTCTGAGTTTGACCAGGATTCTTTGTCCAAATAAGTAGATTTGGCACAGTTTTCCCTCTAGGTCTATTTGTGATTGTAGTTTTTTTACTGTATATTCAACAATGTACATTCAACCTCAGATTATATCTGTTAGCTGAAAACACACATTTCTCTTTTACCACTGTTGAAGTAGAAGTAATTATAAAAAATGTTTCTTTAAAAGTAGAATGGAAACTTTTTGGGTTTGGACACACTTTCTTTTGTGATAGATTTGAGTGGGCAAGCAAAATGTTAATTATGTTTGCTTTAAATGGAGTATTACAAGAAAGGGAAGAAAATAGTGTCACAAAGCAGACTGTCCAATTTTTCAGTACAAGAGTAATGTTCTGTTATTTTTATTGTTAAGCTTTGTATTGCTGATCGAAGCACTGTCCCAAGGCTTCTGCCAAGCAGCACATTGTTTGTGTGATAGGAGGGATTTGGTTACAGTCAAGCAAGTCTGAAAAATGGTAAACTGACAGCAAATCTGGGATCATGGTTGGTAAGGCAGCTTTTGTGGTCACGTGCTTTTATTTGATGTGGTTCCTTGTGTCTCCTGTGCCAAATGGTGTAATGTACTAAAGTGATGAAACTGCAAAAGGAAAAAAAAGTCAACTCTTTACTTCAGCAACAAAGGAGAAGGAGAACGGGGAAGGAGATCAAAGCCTTTAACATGCCTTTCAAAATAGGAAAAAAGAGCAAAAAGAAGGGAATTTCTTTCCACACGCTTCAGGCTACTCTTGCATATAGCCATCATGAGTAATAAACCCTCTAAATGCTTGTGTAAGTCTGCAGTGTGCTTCAGTTTCAAAATAAGACAGGTGTTACAGAGAGTTAAAAAGGGTGTATCTTTGTAAAAGAAAGGGCTATAAAGTCTAAAGTCTACTTTGCGTCACTAGTTCGCAGATTCAAACGTGTTTTAACATTGGCCACACTGAGAGAAAAGCTCTTAGTGACTTTAAACTGGTCTTTCCATGCTGAGGGAAGTTTTTTATTTGTTTACATTTTCAAAGCTAGACAAATCTTCAACTGTATCATTGATGATCGTTGAAATTGTAATTTTGCTATTTTATGTGTGTTTTGCAGGAAGAATATATTGGATTAGAAATGTTGAGTGTAGTCAGCACTATATACCTCTTTCCTTTGATATAAAACTCTTTCCTTCCTTGTTCACACGTTTTTCAGGGATAAGTATGATTCTTCTTACAGTGCTGGACCTCCTTCCCCAAATACACACTTTTTAGTCTTCCTTCCTTGGTGAAAAAAATTAACTACAATTGTGCAAGGTTTCTCCTTTTAAGAGTATCAGACTTTTCTGCAGATAACTTTTCTTTGTTATATTTGTTTCAGTTATGCAATTTTTGGAGATGAGGAACAGGAACAGGTAAAGAGGATAGAGAGGGAGCAAAACATAGACAGTATTAGGTGTGCACTGGTGCTTAGCTGTAGTACTTTGTTAGCACATAACTTTATAAACTCTTGCAAGACCCTATAAGATGTAGGGGGTAGTCTGAAATAATCCTCATTTTTCTGCACGAAGAAAGGGGAAAGCAAAATGAATTGCAGGGAAAAAGTGGTGTGAATGAAAGGAGTTAGGGGAACTAAGTAGGCCCACGAGAGTATGGCGTGAGTTGGCAGGAAGAAGGTAGGGATAGGAACAAGAGAATCTCTCTACATGCCTGTAAGTCTGCCTTGCTAAAGCACCCAGTCTTCTGAGCTTGAGGCTTGGAAGCATCCTTCTTCTTTAATGAAGTGATGGTTTTAAGGAAGGGGAAATACTCAAGAACAAAACCAGTCACTTCTGTAAACCTTTTGATTAATGCAATGCCTTTTGTTTTAAGGATCATTTCTTGAGAAAGACATTTTAATTAATTATAAGCTATCCAGAAATAGGAAAGAATTTCACATTTTGTATATGGGCCTGAATAAATAGATCCAGTGAGAGACAGACAGAGCAAGTCACTTGGAATGCACCAGTCAACAGAAATGTAAACATACTCCAGCTATGTCTTCTGCATTTGTATTTCAGTGTGTCACAGAACAAGTCCTCTATTAATGCAGGCTGACTGCTGCGCTGGTTGAATTTGGTAGTGAGTTCCTCACAAAACCCAGTTGTAATTTGCAGACTGTGGATCAGAACCACATTGTGTCTGACACTCTGGAAACCCAGGAGGACAGAAGCTCACTGGAAAGAAGATGGTCTTAAAATAAGGTGTATGAAGTTGGTTTGCAGAACTGAGTAGGTTTAGAATAAGAGCAAGAGAATATAACTTTGAGGCCAACAGATCTTTGTCTCTGTTCCAGCGTGTTTGTGCAACCTTGTCTCATAGACAGGTAGATCTACCATGTGTTTATCTTCATCTGGTACTAGTCCTCATGAAATGGCATTCACTGAGACTGTTTCTTTGTGAATTGTGATGATTTTAGAAAGCCACTATCAGACCCTTAGAATCTTAGCCTTGAAAAAGTAGCAGGTTGGTGGAAAAAACTTAAAATCAAACACAAGTCAATTGGTTGTACTGAAACTAGCCTTTAAAAAGTAGCAGGTTGGTGGAAAAATCTTAAAATCAAACACATGTCAATTGGTTGTACTGAAACTAGCCTTAACTCTGGCAGCTGTAGGAGAGCAATATTAATTGTGTTTAAAAGCAAAGTAACTTCCTCATCGTATCTCTTGATGGGGTTTGTTTGATTTTTTTTTGTTGTCTTCATAAAGTGAATTTGTTTTGTATGTGAGGGGTGTGTAACAATGATACCAAGAGGAGAGCTTAATTGCAAACAGGGGAGTGCAAGATCTGTGCTCCAAGAGGCCTCACTCTTTGGAAAGAAGTTCTGATATGCAGCAATCTTTAGCTTGTGCTGGTGAAATCTCTTGGCAAATGGAATATCCTTGACTATAAAAGGCTTCTTATGGTGCTTTTTGTTTTGCACTTTTTCTTATGGTTAGGCTGTGAGGTACCTCAAAAAGCAGCATTAGATACTGAGATACATGGTGAAATTCCCTTGCCTAATTGTCTCCATTTGACATATTTCCTTGCACCTTTTACTAGTTCTACTTTGACATTGTGTAAGTCACTTGTTTCTTCAGCCGCATGTTTGTTACAAGTCAAATGAATTATTGCAGCACCTTGCCCTGTCTCATGATCGTGAGGTACTGCAAACTTGTTCCTTTGGCACAACAGAGACATTGCAGTACAGCATAGCCAATCAAACTCTGAGCAGTAGCTTCCTTGAAAAGAAAAGGTAAATATCAGTTTAATAAGGCAGAGGAACTTCAGTTGCAGAGGAGCCTTAATTGCTAAATGTTTGTAGAAGGTTTTGAGATGGTTGAAGGCAAGGTCCTGTGCAAATGCAGTATTTTATTAAAGTATTTAATAAGCAGATTCTCTGATCCAATGGAGGGAACAAAGATGCCTGTCCATTCTTAATTTTCCCTACCCAGAATTATTTCTACATAACATAAATTACATATTGTACAGCTTTATTCGGTTTTCAGAGGATAATTATACTAGAAATTCCAGCCTTCTTTCTGTGGAGGGACCATTTTCTCAGAAACCACACCTTGTAGCAGTCTGTTTTTCATTTGAGAAGGGATGAATTTGCATTTATGTCAACAAGTTACTATGAGTTGGCTACATTCAAGAGATGGATACAGGTAAAATGGGAAGCCCTCACAAATCATAATAATTCAGTCTGGAAGAGGTATTCGAAGATGATGATACAGAAGTGGAAGCTTTTTTGCATGTGTAATCTGTTAGAGATTACTCTTAATTTCATGCCTGCTGTTGTAACTGAGAGAGAAGCCTGTAATTCCTGTTGTAGTCAGCTGAGCATCTCCAGTGGTATCTCCATGCTGAGAAGGATCTTGTACTTGGTGTCAGTGAGGCAAGGCAGGATGCCAAGTGGACACTGCCAGTTGCTCTAGGTATGAGATTGGAGGCTTTTATGGATATATTTACATACGCATTTAAGGAGTTTAATAAACTGAAAACCAGGGTCTTAAAGTAAGGTTCACAATCCACTTGTGACATACCAGGAGGGACGAGTCTTCCATTCTCCAACATTAGAGACTGATGGACCCCATATCCTTCAATTTCCTAAGAGGAAACTGCTCTTTCAGAATTATTCCAACTTTGTAATAATCTAATAGTCACACTCCACTGTTTTTAACCATCCACAAGTTGCAAAATTATGTTCTCACTTAAGTAATTTTGGTAAGGGGTAGCAGCAAGGAAACTGAATTCTGTTTCTTAAAAAAATCTTTAAAAAATTCCATTTGAGTCTTACTTCTGCTGGAAAAGTTTGTTTGTTTTTTTATGTAGCTGTGGTGTACTCAAGGCTTTTTTTTTCATCGTTGCATATGCAAAATCCAGACCTGCAGAACTGTTCCATGTGGTGAACAGTCTGCTAAACCCAGACTGTTTTGCCTGAGTAGCAGATTTCCATATACCTCATTATGAGTTTGGGGTTTTTTTGATTTATGTAGGCTCTGTTCCTTCAAAGGGATATACAACTGTAGACCTTTATACCTACCAAAGTGATTTCTTATCAGGTACTCAGGAATATACAAGGGCAGGTCCTGTTGGAGAATAAGAGCCTTATTTTGCAGAGAAGAACTTTCTTTCTAGCCAATTTAATTTGTCATGGAAACAGCATGTAAACAGGAGACCACAAAGTAACTTAGCTTTTGAAGCTTTTTAATGGTACCCAGCGAGGTTCTGGATGGTTAGTGAGTGATGTAATCCACAGTGTGTAATGTAAATTCATATCCCTTTGGATTGGTAAAAGACTATATGAAAGATTTAGGTCAGTACTGCTAAAAGCAAGTAGCATGGACTTTGCCTGGTTGTTGCCTTGTACAGCCTAATTTAAATAAGTGCTGGATCTTTCCACACCAGAGAAGCATTATCCTCAGTAATAGCAGGTGTGCTTCAGCCTTCCATCCTGTGATAAAGGCAAATGATTAACACACCTAAATACATCTCTGAAGTTAGTTTATTTCTGTGGATCCCTACTATTCAGATTTCCAGTCTGTGCATGGACAGAGTTTATATCTTTCTTTTTATTATTTCCTGCTGGACATGAACAAAATCATAAAATCAGGGAATATCATCAGAAAACAGTGTAGACTGGAGAGAGCGTCTGGAGATATCTGGCCCAGTCACTTCTCAGAGCAAGGCCAGCTTAGATCAGTGTGCTCATGACAGTTGTTCAGCTGAGCTTTGAGCCCCTCTGAGGACAGGGCACCGCGTCAGAGAAACCTCTGGCTCCATTGTTTCTGTGTTTTTCCTTTGGATAATTAAAGGCATCAATATGCCTTCAATAACAATATGCCTTCGACTCCCCTCCTCAGTATCTCCCCCCTTCCCAGTGTTCTCTTAAGAATGAACAAACCCATTTCTTTCAGCATCCCCCCTTACATCATCATCATGTACCTGATAATTTTTCTGGCCCACTGCCCCCTTGATCTAGTAGGTTAACATCTGTGTTGTATTGGGAGGTCCAAAACTGGAGTAGATGGCATGACTGATATTTGCATCTGGCCATCTATTACTCCTCAGTCCAAATTGGTTTGATTATACTTAGCTGTTTTGACTGAAGGTGGCTTTGGAATAATGGAAGAATTTAAGTCTTCTCCTCCTGCACTAACAAGATATCTGAACTACAGTACTCCACATTTTACTGATGAGGGCAAAGAAACAACCGGTCACAACAAAAAAAGCTATTTCCTAAGAGTATGCTTTCATTAGTTATACACTTAATTCAAGTGATTTGTTTACAGTGGGTCATGGTATAACCTGTCTTTATAGATGGTATCACTCAATACTTTTTATATCATCACAGCATAAAATGCACTTCCTCGTGGCCCTCTGACTTTAAGCATGGGGAAAGAGGACTGTGTAGAAATAATTTTCAAATCCCAGGGACCATCTGTGTAATGTACTGTTAAATTCTATTTCTAGTGCTCTTGGAGGATCCTCTGCCCTTCACATCCCAGCCTTTCCTGGTGGAGGTTGTCTTATTGACTATGTACCCCAAGTATGCCAGCTGCTAACAAACAAGGTAAGTTAGGAAAGACAACTCAGTTTTCCTTTCCCTTATGTGCTGTGCTGCATTTCCACAGAGACATCCTTTTGCTTCTGCCAGGTAGTCCAAGCAAGGCATAATTAAGGTGAACTACACAGGGAATACTGTCTCGATAAGAAATTCACCTATTACAGACCTCCTATTTGTATTTGTATATTATTTTTGCCTTCAATTGTCTAAATGAAGACAATAATTTTAACCTGTAGAAAAAGTTCTTCAAAATGTGTTTCCATAATTATTTTGGAATCTATCTTTAGGGTTGGTTTTGTTGTGGTTTTCTGTTAAAATTAGTTACTGCTTTTAAAATCTGCAAGTATACAGGACTGTTTTTATCCTTTCTTAAACAAAGTCACTTAGGCAAACTTGCTGTATATTTTCCTTTTTCCAAAAATAGCATTTCAGAACCTACACAAACCCTTCAAAATGATCATAGTTTTTATAAAATCAAATAAGTTTCAATTTATAAATAGAATTTAAGGTATACAAGATAGCCCTCAGCAATGATTGTATCAAGGCTTTTTCAATAATTTTAGGAAAGCATTTGCCAGCCAAGGAATTCTAGTATGACCACAGCCAAGATAAATATTCATCCTGTTCTTTTCAGTGGGGTAAAAAGATTCCTGAGATGCTAGTTTTCATTCTGGAAAGCAAAAGAATTTACGTAGGGAATCACATATGGTATCATACTGTAAGTACTTCGAGTCACCAGTTCTAAGCCAGATGCTCTTGCAGCCTGATGACACGTGAATTGTTTCTGTTGTGGGTCAAACCCTGTGCACAGAGTTCTCCTAAGTAATGCCATTCAAATCAATAAGAAAACATACATGGTGCAAGGAGAATTTTGCCTAAAGTCTTCCAAATTTAGCATTGTTGGATTTTGTCTGTGCCAGGATGGAAGTCTTTCAAAACCCAGAATGCCTCAGAAATTGCTGCTCACAGTTGAGTAGGTGGTTCCCTGAGTCAGCATGAAACCAGTGAGAGAGCTTAGTGTTCAGAAGGTTTTGTTGGAGGTGCAGCCTTCAGAAAACACCCAAGATCAGTTGTGAAAGATACTTATTTTTTCTTTTCTCTTATGACCAGAATGTTATTTTGACACAACCTACTGCCAGTTCAGGTGACTATGATTTGCCTATCACAGCTTTCTACTCAGACTTCAGTAAGGCAAGGCCAAGCTTTTCTTTCCTTCACTCTTTATCTTGTGCAGTTAAACAGCACTTCAGTCTATTGTGAAAGACGTAAGATTCACTCAGAAGTGAGTGAAAAGATTTCTTTACAAGATATTCTGTGTGCAAGATCCAGGGTTTGTTTTAAAGATATTTTAGGATTCTTTAGGGAACTCATGCAAGCTAAATGTAGGATTCAGAACCACTACCATGTCAAACATAAATCTTCCTTAACAGGAAATATATGACAAACTGGGCTTTGGCTTTTTCTTTTTATAGCTCTGGATTTGTTTCCTTCTTTCTTTTTTAAGGTACAGTATGTTATTCAGGGATACCATAAGAGAAGAGAGTACATTGCAGCTTTCCTGAGTCACTTTGGAACGTAAGTTTTCTTTCGAAGCTTTATTTTCTGTAGCGTGGGGGAGAGTAATTTTATGCACACGATCTGTGGTTGTGTGACTGCTGTTCACTGGATAAGATGAAATCTAGTCATTTTTCACAGAATTATGTGTATAGGTTGTCTCTAGCAGTACTGAAGTTTAGCATTATTTCACTTATGTGCCAGTTGCCAATCTGATTTTGCTAGAAAATAGCCGATGATGGGAAAAGGACAGGCAGTAAGGATTTTCTCCTTGTGCAGCAGAAATGTGCTTATTTTTTAATAAATTACTTGAGGGGTCTTACAGTAATGGGCAGTGAGTGAGGTGGGAGAATGGGGAAGCAGGTATGGTTCCAAGCCTTGCAGGAACCAGAAACCACTGCTTGGCGTAAAGACAGGACTGGGGGACCTGCCTCTGCCACCAAGCAGTATTTTGTCTCTCAAGAGAAAAGGCTGTTGGGTCGTGTTGAATTCCTGCAGATCAGAGGTCCATGACTGGGCATAATGGCACGTTAGCTTCACAAAATCAATAAATCAGGGCTACCTTGGCATTGTTAAGGGTAGGCACTTTGCTTTCCCACCTGAATTCCCACCTGAAACTGAGTGAGAGTCTAAGTCTTTACCTAATTGTTATGAGAGGTTTCTGCTTCCAAGGGGTGTTCCCAAATGACATGGATATTCAGCAGGTCTCCCAAGTGAGGTTAGGGAAACAGGTGACTTTTAGCATGCATCCAAATTTATTGCAACAATAAATAGATCCAGTGACTTGAACTGGACATAAAGCAGACAGCCAATGCAAGCTCAGTCTTTATCAAGAGAAGATATTTCCTTTTCTTCTGAGGAAACTACAGTATAGAAATGTCCAGATGTACCTATGACTTTATTACACCTGCAATGTGGTTCATAAGTTCTGATACTGCTTGAGACTGTTAGAGAATACAAACTTCTGATGGTTGAAACTTCTGATCCATCTATTGAACAAGTGTTCTCTATTTATTTTTTTGCATGCTGTTATGTTTGGGGGATTTTTATATATATATTCTTCTGAATTTTCAAATTTAAGCTCCTCAGCCTGCCTGTTTTCAATTTTACCCTCTCACGTACTACAGAGTTAATAAATTATCTTAATCTGAGTAATATACAGGGAATTTGTGTGTGTACAGTCTTTATCAGTTTAGGAGTGCAGATGCATTAGCAGGTCTCCTTTCATTCTGAAGTGTAGTTTTGTAAACTGAACCTGGCCTTTCTTTGGGTAAGAAACTCCAATACCACAGCATAATTAAGAAGATTATTAAGATTAAAAGTTTAATCTAATTTACATTTAGCTCGAAAATTCTAACTGTTAATAAACAAAGCCAATACTGGAAGTTTCTGAACAAGCAAACAAAAATAACAATCCCTGTATTACAAAATTTACATATTTATCATTCAGTATTGGAAGTGGAAAATCGTGTTCATTTTTTTGTTGTTTTTTTTTGTTGATAGTGGTGTGGTGGAATATGATGCAGAAGGCTTCACAAAGCTTACTCTGTTGCTGATGTGGAAGGATTTTTGCTTCCTTGTTCACAGTGAGTAACACTTTGCCTGAGGCATAAATGTCTATCCTCTTAAAGATACAAGTTCAAAAGGGAAAAAAATACAATTACAGGAAACAATTTAAAGAATTGAGCTATTTTTATCCAATCTATTTTTGATGTGACCATGACACTTAGAAAATACAAAATCCCAATTGTGTTTGGAGAAGGGGAGAGGATCCACATTAGTAGTGAAATGCCTGCTGTACAGAATGCTGAAAGCACCATGGGAAGGTTTTCTGGTAATGTGAGTCAGGATTTAAGTTGATGGTTGTAACTCAGCCTTTCAGAAGTGTCAATAATGAGGACCAATATTTTACTCAGCCTGGGAATACCTTATGTAGATATATATATATATGATATCTTCTGTAATTGTCAGGAATTAATGCATTGCTAGCAACTGTAAAGACACATAAATGTAGAGAAAATATATTACATGAGTTATAGCACTATACTGTCATTAGGATCCAAAAGTTATTCCTCAGCTGAAACTGTGTAGACAAAACTGTCTTAACAGTTTGCTACAATATGTAGCTAGATTTGCTGTCATTTGAAAATTTTAAATAAAAATTGTATTGCTTTAAAAAGATATTCTTAATAAAATAAATATATAGGAATTGCTTCATGTAGAAATTAGTAAATGTGGCTTTAATACTGCCTTTACATGTTACCTTAAATAGCAGATATTATTTTTCCCTCTAATAAGGTGAAATTCACAGGTATCAAAGGTACTCGTGTTACTCTTTAGTTTTGTTTGTTACACTTCCTATTTATGTTTAAAATAATTACAGTGCAATCTGGGTGGCTGCAGCATTGGTGTTTGACATTCCAGCACTGGAATCTTTCAGATGATGTAATTTTTTCTTTTGAGCTAGCTTTTCATGTGAAAAACTAATGCTGCCTTAATGACATCATAGAAATTTGTACCAGAGTTTTTAATGCAAGAAGTGGGCATTGCCATTGTTCAGATAAGTCGTTCACCCTGTATTGTATTGGAGATGGTCCAAAATGGTCTCACTAATATCCCTCTTTGTATCACGTAAGATTATCGGGCGGTAATGACCTTAGGAGGTCTAGAGAACTCAAACCTGAAGTTTAAACACTTCTGTCTTATTATTATGATTTACATCATGGGGAATAAAAGAGTTAAAGCTGATATCTTTTGGAAAATTGTCCTTATTACATCTTTACTCAGGCTTCAGCTACAACTGAGAATTGGTCACTGGATAGTTGTCCTCCATGAGATGACAATTCTTTATGTACAGCCTTCCTGAAGGTTTCTTACCTTTCTTATTCCCCAACATGTTCGGCTTAATTTTATCAGCGTTAAAATTCCTATGGATTTGATTTGTGCTGCAGGATGGTATGACTTAATACATGTTGAATCAGTTAGATTTAGGGGAATAAAAATTCAAATTTCTGCTAAATAACAGAGTAGATTTGAACTGTGTAATATTCATAGTATTCAATTAAACTAGCACGAAAGCTACAATTACAACTGAATAGTTTATCAGTATGTATTAACCCTGTGGCCTTAGAAATCATACAGTGGCTTAGCTGTGTGAGCCATTGCATCACCCACTTGTTGAACAATCCACTGTAAAAGCATTTATGTTCCATGCACTGAAGGATATTGCAATGAAAGGACCGAAACCTGCACTTCATTTCCTGAGTGAAGTAATGCAGGCTTTCATCTCTTAACCACTGACAGAACTATGTATATTACTGTTGAATATTTAGCAAGCATCTAATAAAATGTCTGGGAGAGATAGCAATAAGTTGAAGACTGTTCTAATTTATATATTTACTATAGTATGTGGATAAAATATTCAGAGGAGAATACATAGGTCAGTATACAGCAAGCATCATGGCAAATCAAATGAAAAGAATCAGCAAATTTTACTGGCATCTGAGTTTTGGTTAAAATTTTAGGTTTAATTAAGAGTGTGAAATTTAGAAATGCTAACGTGAGTTGTATTTCCTTTAGAAGATGCATTCAGAGTTTTCAAAAATAGCTTTAGTGTTGTTCTGTAAGTGTTAGCATTCAGAGTTACAAACTTGTTTGGACACAAGGAAGCAAAAGACATTAGAAGGAAAGTGAAATTATTCAAAGTAGTTTCATTGAGCAAATTGAGTTAAAGAGGAGAGAAACAGAAAAATAGTTCTGAAGTGCCAAAGCCAAACAGCCCTAGAACAACTTCACATGCTAAAAAAAATTGGTTTGTGCTGTAGTTACAGAATGAAGGGCAGAGTCTACCCACTCTACCTTAAAATACAGAGGAGCTACCTCGTTGCCACTTAATAATTAGATTAACAAAGCTGCTGAATTTATTGTAGTAGATCAAAGACCACTCATAGGAACTGTTGCTTTCATGGTTTAGTTTTAAGAATTAATCAAGTCTTTTCAAATATAAGACAGGAGAAATAAGCATTTAGAGAAGTTCATGCATCCACTCAGGAAAGGAAATCATTAATCAGGCTAACTGCTTTTGATATTGATACTGTTTATGAGTAAGTCTAAGTAAGACACTTTGGAAGTAAATTGCAATAACTGCTGATTTCTTTCTCTTTTTGTTTATAAATCAGCTATGATTAGATTTTGGAGGTAGGTGTTTCTTCATATTATTGTTCCTGCATGCAACCTGTGTATTTATATAAATATGCATAAACATATATAAATAAATATAAACATACAAATCATAGTATCATTTAAGCTGGAAAAGACCTTTATGATTGAGTCCAGCCATTGATGCTGTAACCAGAACTGTATTAAAGACACAGGTTACATTATCTGTGCATAAGTAAGAATTAAGTAACCTTATTGGTATAAACCCAAGAATAGGACTCCGAAGCAACCTTTATTGGGGCTTTTCAGAGATTAATTTTTCTCTTTTTAAGTTACCAGCACAGAGGAAATGGACAGAAGTTGGACCAGTTGCAATAGCAAATGAAACACTGCTTGTGTTACTGGTTATTTAAGACATCTTGAAAATGACAAATATTAAGCTAAAAAGGGCTTGTTTCATTGAACAGTATTTCAGGGGATGGAGAATGTTGGAAGCTGCCAGCATTTGTGTTTCGACTTTGTATGGGATCTCAGTTGAGTGAAGTTGGTGGGAGCATTTGCTGGAACTGACCTTGGCTAACTGTAAGGGATTTCAGGTTCTGTGTGGGTAATGCCACTGACCCAGGAGGTCCAAAGTGCTGGTCGTGTGAAAGCTAGAGTTTAATTAATGATCGATCTTGCTATGGGAATGCCAACTGAAGTAGCTTTTTGTCAACCCTTTTACCTGTATGTGCAGTTAGGTGGTTGTCTGTGTCAGACAGTGGATCAGAAATAGGCAGCATTTCAGCAAGAGCAAGGTTTTGAAACAGGAGAGAGAAGCAAGCAAGGGACCCAGAGCATTAATTGGCTTACAGCAGGCTACACCTATGATTATCAGGCTATGGGTGGACACCTGCTTCTGGATTCAGGGTTTTTTTGGTGGAAGTCATCAATGCCAGGTTCTGATACATTCCTTTTTGGATATTGCTGCACTTATTTGTCAGAAAAGCAGTTTGTGCCAGTGCAGTCAGGTAGGTTGGTTTGAATTTATGGCCTGAGCTAAACAATTGGGGTTCACATAAATCTCTTTTGGGTCTACATTTGCACATCAGTCCATGACCTCAGAAAGCAGCTTGGAAAATAAAGATACAAAGAATTTTTGATATCTGTATTTGTCAGATGAGGCTTGGAAGGAGGGAAAAAAATAGTACATTTTGGGAAAGAGCATTAGCAGCTGTGAAGATACTTTTACAATACTGTGCAAAGAAAGTGCAGTTTGTTCCAGACGTGTTCAGAGTAAGAGGAACATATGCTCTCTTGCTGTAAATAAATAAAATTGTAATGAAGAAGTAATTCCTTCATTCTGTTCCCTTTCCTAGCAGAAATAATTCATTAGTCCTAGGATATTGTTTCTATCATTCAGTAGCGCAACAATAGTCCTTATAATGTAGGTGAATGTTAAATTTTCAGGCATCTGGTGTAGTTCAAGATGTTACCTGCCTTTGAAAAGAGATTGCCCCACCTCTGGAAAGTCAACAGAACAGAGCTGATGAGCATTCGTCAGTCCCTTCATCTATTCCTCCAGCAGCTGTTTAAATAACAAGTTATTGTGGTAGTAAATGGCCAGCAAGGAGGTTTGGTAAAGTCTTAAATGGGAGGTTTTTCTTAGATGAACATGTGTCTGATCACTTAGTGTTTGCTATTTGTGTTTAGGAGAGCTTATGTGAGAAGGCAGAAGTATTTTGAGTTAGCAGTTGGCAGCCAGGAGGGCCAAATGTGTCCTGGGGTGCATCTGGCACAGCATTGCCAGCCAGTCGAGGGAGGTGATTGTCCTGCTCTATTCTGTGCTGGTGCAGCCTCACCTCGAGTCCTGTCTGCAGTTTTGGGCCAAGCCTGACAAAGTTCAGGAAGTGTTCAGATAATTCTCTCAGGCACATGGTGTGATTATTGGGCTGTCCTGTGCAGGGTCAGGAATTGGACTTTAATGATCCTTGTGAGTCGTGTCCAACTCAGGATATTCTATGATTCTGTGAATTTGGAACCCAGAACTCGAGGCTGTTTCATGTAAACATTCCTGTCAATATTTCAGTAAACCATTATCTGCCTGTAGGTTTGACCATAGAGCCCTCTCTGTTATATAGGACCTATAGATCCTGTTAGATGTAAATGTGAGAAGCAGCTAATGTTTGTTGCTCTGATGTAGTATTTAATGCAGTTGGAATATGCTCGATGACTCCTTTGTGCTACTGGAGTATGAGTAACCATTTGAGTGGTGTTGGTAGTTTTAGAGATACATTTTTTTCAGTGTTTTGTCATGTAAGACTTGCTCACATACCTTTTGGAAGCTGAGAAGAAGATAGCCCTCAAGACTTGCTGTTCTTCATCAATATCTGTGCCTGGTATTCAGCACAATTTAACACTTAAAATTCCAGGAAAAAATCTTTGGAGG